TGAACTAGATGGACCCATACTTACCCAAACATGGATTAATAGGTTCTATACATGACTATGAGGACAAACATGAGTGAAACGGTCTCAATCCAAGGGAGGAACATCAAATGGACCAAATTTGGGAACCGGAAGAGGTAAGGAGTCCGAAATGTACCTCTGTGACTCCACATTGTGGAAACTCACTTGTAGTGTATAAGATGAACTAGATGGACCCATACTTACCCAAACATGGATTAATAGGTTCTACATGACTATGAGGACAAACATGAGTGAAACGGTCTCAATCCAAGGGAGGAACATCAAATGGACCAAATTTGGGAACCGGAAGAGGTAAGGAGTCCGAAATGTACCTCTGTGACTCCACATTGTGGAAACTCACTTGTAGTGTATAAGATGAACTAGATGGACCCATACTTACCCAAACATGGATTAATAGGTTCTACATGACTATGAGGACAAACATGAGTGAAACGGTCTCAATCCAAGGGAGGAACATCAAATGGACCTAATTTGGGAACCGGAAGAGGTAAGGAGTCCGAAATGTACCTCTGTGACTCCACATTGTGGGAAACTCACTTGTAGTGTATAAGATGAACTAGATGGACCCATACTTACCCAAACATGGATTAATAGGTTCTACACATGACTATGAGGACAAACATGAGTGAAACGGTCTCAATCCAAGGGAGGAACATCAAATGGACCAATTTGGGAACCGGAAGAGGTAAGGAGTCCGAAATGTACCTCTGTGACCCACATTGTGGAAACTCACTTGTAGTGTATAAGATGAACTAGATGGACCCATACTTACCCAAACATGGATTAATAGGTTCTACATGACTATGAGGACAAACATGAGTGAAACGGTCTCAATCCAAGGGAGGAACATCAAATGGACCTAAATTTGGGAACCGGAAGAGGTAAGGAGTCCGAAATGTACTCTGTGACTCCACATTGTGGAAACTCACTTGTAGTGTATAAGATGAACTAGATGGACCCATACTTACCCAAACATGGATTAATAGGTTCTCCACATGACTATGAGGACAAACATGAGTGAAACGGTCTCAATCCAAGGGAGGAACATCAAATGGACCAAATTTGGGAACCGGAAGAGGTAAGGAGTCCGAAATGTACCTCTGTGCCTCCACATTGTGGAAACTCACTTGTAGTGTATAAGATGAACTAGATGGACCCATACTTACCCAAACATGGATTAATAGGTTCTACATGACTATGAGGACAAACATGAGTGAAACGGTCTCAATCCAAGGGAGGAACATCAAATGGACCAAATTTGGGAACCGGAAGAGGTAAGGAGTCCGAAATGTACCTCTGTGACCTCCACATTGTGGAACTCACTTGTAGTGTATATGATGAACTAGATGGACCCATACTTACCCAAACATGGATTAATAGGTTCTATACATGACTATGAGGACAAACATGAGTGAAACGGTCTCAATCCAAGGGAGGAACATCAAATGGACCAAATTTGGGAACCGGAAGAGGTAAGGAGTCCGAAATGTACTCTGTGCCTCCACATTGTGGAAACTCACTTGTAGTGTATATGATGAACTAGATGGACCCATACTTACCCAAACATGGATTAATAGGTTCTATACATGACTATGAGGACAAACATGAGTGAAACGGTCTCAATCCAAGGGAGGAACATCAAATGGACCAAATTTGGGAACCGGAAGAGGTAAGGAGTCCGAAATGTACTCTGTGCCTCCACATTGTGGAAACTCACTTGTAGTGTATAAGATGAACTAGATGGACCCATACTTACCCAAACATGGATTAATAGGTTCTACATGACTATGAGAAAACATGAGTGAAACGGTCTCAATCCAAGGGAGGAACATCAAATGGACCAAATTTGGGAACCGGAAGAGGTAAGGAGTCCGAAATGTACTCTGTGACCTCCACATTGTGGAACTCACTTGTAGTGTATAAGATGAACTAGATGGACCCATACTTACCCAAACATGGATTAATAGGTTCTACACATGACTATGAGGACAAACATGAGTGAAACGGTCTCAATCCAAGGGAGGAACATCAAATGGACCAAATTTGGGAACCGGAAGAGGTAAGGAGTCCGAAATGTACCTCTGTGACTCCACATTGTGGAAACTCACTTGTAGTGTATAAGATGAACTAGATGGACCCATACTTACCCAAACATGGATTAATAGGTTCTCACATGACTATGAGGACAAACATGAGTGAAACGGTCTCAATCCAAGGGAGGAACATCAAATGGACCAAATTTGGGAACCGGAAGAGGTAAGGAGTCCGAAATGTACCTCTGTGACTCCACATTGTGGAAACTCACTTGTAGTGTATAAGATGAACTAGATGGACCCATACTTACCCAAACATGGATTAATAGGTTCTACACATGACTATGAGGACAAACATGAGTGAAACGGTCTCAATCCAAGGGAGGAACATCAAATGGACCTAATTTGGGAACCGGAAGAGGTAAGGAGTCCGAAATGTACCTCTGTGACTCCACATTGTGGAAACTCACTTGTAGTGTATAAGATGAACTAGATGGACCCATACTTACCCAAACATGGATTAATAGGTTCTATACATGACTATGAGGACAAACATGAGTGAAACGGTCTCAATCCAAGGGAGGAACATCAAATGGACCAAATTTGGGAACCGGAAGAGGTAAGGAGTCCGAAATGTACCTCTGTGACTCCACATTGTGGAAACTCACTTGTAGTGTATAAGATGAACTAGATGGACCCATACTTACCCAAACATGGATTAATAGGTTCTCACATGACTATGAGGACAAACATGAGTGAAACGGTCTCAATCCAAGGGAGGAACATCAAATGGACCAAATTTGGGAACCGGAAGAGGTAAGGAGTCCGAAATGTACCTCTGTGACTCCACATTGTGGAAACTCACTTGTAGTGTATAAGATGAACTAGATGGATTAATAGGTTCTACACATGACTATGAGGACAAACATGAGTGAAACGGTCTCAATCCAAGGGAGGAACATCAAATGGACCAAATTTGGGAACCGGAAGAGGTAAGGAGTCCGAAATGTACCTCTGTGACTCCACATTGTGGAAACTCACTTGTAGTGTATAAGATGAACTAGATGGACCCATACTTACCCAAACATGGATTAATAGGTTCTACACATGACTATGAGGAAAACATGAGTGAAACGGTCTCAATCCAAGGGAGGAACATCAAATGGACCAAATTTGGGAACCGGAAGAGGTAAGGAGTCCGAAATGTACCTCTGTGACTCCACATTGTGGAAACTCACTTGTAGTGTATAAGATGAACTAGATGGACCCATACTTACCCAAACATGGATTAATAGGTTCTACATGACTATGGAATGAGTGAAACGGTCTCAAACCAAGGGAGGAACATCAAATGGACCTAATTTGGGAACCGGAAGAGGTAAGGAGTCCGAAATGTACTCTGTGACTCCAGATTGAGGAAACTCACTTGTAGTGTATAAGATGAACTAGATGGACCCATACTTACCAAACATGGATTAATAGGTTCTCACATGACTATGAGGACAAACATGAGTGAAACGGTCTCAATCCAAGGGAGGAACATCAAATGGACCAAATTTGGGAACCGGAAGAGGTAAGGAGTCCGAAATGTACCTCTGTGACTCCACATTGTGGAAACTCACTTGTAGTGTATAAGATGAACTAGATGGACCCATACTTACCCAAACATGGATTAATAGGTTCTACACATGACTATGAGGACAAACATGAGTGAAACGGTCTCAATCCAAGGGAGGAACATCAAATGGACCTAATTTGGGAACCGGAAGAGGTAAGGAGTCCGAAATGTACCTCTGTGACTCCACATTGTGGAAACTCACTTGTAGTGTATAAGATGAACTAGATGGACCCATACTTACCCAAACATGGATTAATAGGTTCTACACATGACTATGAGGACAAACATGAGTGAAACGGTCTCAATCCAAGGGAGGAACATCAAATGGACCTAATTTGGGAACCGGAAGAGGTAAGGAGTCCGAAATGTACCTCTGTGACTCCACATTGTGGAAACTCACTTGTAGTGTATAAGATGAACTAGATGGACCCATACTTACCCAAACATGGATTAATAGGTTCTCCACATGACTATGAGGACAAACATGAGTGAAACGGTCTCAATCCAAGGGAGGAACATCAAATGGACCTAATTTGGGAACCGGAAGAGGTAAGGAGTCCGAAATGTACCTCTGTGACTCCACATTGAGGAAACTCACTTGTAGTGTATAAGATGAACTAGATGGAACCCATACTTTCCAAACATGGATTAATAGGTTCTCCACATGACTATGAGGACAAACATGAGTGAAACGGTCTCAATCCAAGGGAGGAACATCAAATGGACCTAATTTGGGAACCGGAAGAGGTAAGGAGTCCGAAATGTACCTCTGTGACTCCACATTGTGGAAACTCACTTGTAGTGTATAAGATGAACTAGATGGACCCATACTTACCCAAACATGGATTAATAGGTTCTCCACATGACTATGAGGACAAACATGAGTGAAACGGTCTCAATCCAAGGGAGGAACATCAAATGGACCTAATTTGGGAACCGGAAGAGGTAAGGAGTCCGAAATGTACCTCTGTGACTCCACATTGTGGAAACTCACTTGTAGTGTATAAGATGAACTAGATGGACCCATACTTACCCAAACATGGATTAATAGGTTCTACACATGACTATGAGGACAAACATGAGTGAAACGGTCTCAATCCAAGGGAGGAACATCAAATGGACCTAATTTGGGAACCGGAAGAGGTAAGGAGTCCGAAATGTACCTCTGTGACTCCAGATTGAGGAAACTCACTTGTAGTGTATAAGATGAACTAGATGGACCCATACTTACCCAAACATGGATTAATAGGTTCTACACATGACTATGAGGACAAACATGAGTGAAACGGTCTCAATCCAAGGGAGGAACATCAAATGGACCTAATTTGGGAAGCAGACAGAATCAACGGCGTGTTGAGACAGAGAGAGGAACTGGTTTTGTCGTTGTTGTTGTTGTTTTCCAAGTAGATGTAGCAAAGGAGAAGTGACAAGGAGATGAAGTTGGTGAGAAAAGATGAAATTGCGACTCCAGCAACGCCGAGAGAGATGTAAAATGTGAAGAAAGCGGTAATGGGGAGATGAAGAAGGACGGAGACCAACGTGCACCACATCAAGGGCCACGTGGTGCCTTTACAGCGTAAATAAATACGTAGAGGGTGAAGGAAGCTATTAGCGAGGAGATCAGGCAAAGAGAAGGAGCAATAGAGAGATGCCACACGTGTGATGTCTTGTTGTTGGCGGAGGATTAGCATTAGAGGTTGGAGGTTTAGCCAAAGGAGTGAGATGGGAAGAGAAGCTAAGAGAAGGAGAAAGATGGTTCGCTTGAGGGTCAAGGAAGCGAGTGAAGGGTTCTTGGAGCCGATGGCTTGACCGCAAAGTGGTTCCATACCGGTGGCTAAACCGGAGAGAACAGAGTAACCGGTTATGTTGGTGAAACCGACAGCTAATGCTCCTCCGGCAAGCTCGAGGCTACCGAGACGGCCCATACACACGACGGATGTCATGTTCTTTAGGTAGTTTAGTATGCTCATGGCGGCCACCGGGAAACTTATGTCCCACATTTTCTTCATCTCCTCCACCACCTTTACAATTTTAAATTTAAGTGCATAAATTAATCAAACAATATAAGTGGTTGATATCTGAGAGACTCTAACTGAGGCAGAAGTGTACTGAGAATAGATATCTTAGATAAATTAAGTACCTCGGGCATTGTCGGGTTGTACTTGTGTTGGAGAATTATGAGACGTGAATCTTCTTCGACCACCATTGTTACTGTGTGTTTTGATTGAGATGAGAGATTTAAAATATGAAGAGAAGATGCCGTTTTATATAGATGGAGTTCCTAGTTTGGCATGGTGCGGATTTCAAAAATATTTCTTTCATTATTTGTTACCCATTTTCTTTATGTGGTCCTTGTGATACTAATATTACTATATATACAAGTATAAATACAAACTTAAGTATTGCTTGAACACACACAAAAATAATACAAAGGAAATTAACTAAAACCAAGCCGATTTTTTTTATAAAAAATGAGACGACATAATATCCTATAATATTTTATCAAACAAAAGAATTTCTTGCCAAGAAAGTACGAATCCGGATCTGATCTTGTCGTACAAAAGAGTCGCATAAACAAACGAAAATGTAGGTATGTGGCAATTCTAAACAACAAAAACTCAAATCAGATTTCTTCTCAATATGCTGAGAGCTGACCATCGTAGTACAAACAACAAAGTTTCTTTTATGATTATCTATTTATCTCTTGATTTAACTACCAAAAGTTTAGAATTAACAACACTGTTAAGGTATCAGTTTTTTATAATCATTGTTAATTTTATAATCAAAATTTTGTTAAGGTACCAAAACGTTAGAATTAACTTAAGGTATCAATTCTTTCTAAAAATAAAATCCTGATAAAGAGTTATGGAGCTCAGACTAAAGATATTAGTAGAAAGTGATATGATTGGTCCATCAGTCTAGAAATGAAACTAGTTAGAATTAGGTATACCGCAATGTCTTGTCTCCCTCTCACTGTAATTATCAAACCAAAATCGACTTGAAAATTATGTATACCTTTCCTTTATTTTTTTCCCTTTTCCTTCTTATTCCCCACTCCACTCCTTATAACTGACATTTTACATCTTGTCTCTGCTTACGTGGAAAAATGATCATCATGACAATTGAAAAACAATATACAGTACTAGGGGGTGACCCGCGCTACGTGCGGATTGTGTTAGTTTTATTGTTTTTCCGCAAATTTAATATTGTTTCAAAGATATTATACACATATTACTTAAATATAATTAGAGTTAGGCAAACTTTTCGTTCCATCTTCGTTCATTTTCATCATGTACGTTTTTTCCCGTCCCGTTCGTCTTGTATGTCCCGTCCCGTTCAGTCATATCTATCCCATTATGATTCTTTCCATTTTGTTTATTATTGTCTCGTTTCCTAAATATAATTAGGGGTAGACATAATTCTATCTCATTCCGTTCCTTTTCATCTTGTCATGTTCTTTCCCATCCAGTTCCTTCTGTCCGCCCCATCCAGTCCCATCATAGATTATGTTCATTTCCATTTTGTTTTATCTTTGTCTCGTCTCTAAATATAATTAGGGATAGGCAAAATTCCGTCACATTCCATTTCTTTTCATTTTGTCCCGTCCAACATTTCTGTCTTGTCCTCTCTCATCATATTTTTTCCGTTCCACCCCTAAATATAATTAGAGGTAGGCGAAATTTCCGTCTTGTCCTATTCCGTTCTTTTCCGTTCCTTTAGATCTCGTCTCGTCACTTAATATCATAAGAAGTAAACAAAATTCCCCTTTTTCTGATTCTATTTTTTTCGTCTCGTCATATTCAATCTCGTCTCTTTTCATTCAAAAATACTATAGAAAAAACAGTGTTTTTTGTATAATATATTTTTATTTTTATAATTATTATTAAATAATAGTTTTTATAGATTTATATAAAATCTTTCTTCTTTTTGTAAATGACTTTTCACATTCTTGTTAAGCCTATTTAATGAATGATAACTATTATAAAAGTTTAAAAAAGAGAAAATATGATATATTAAATGTTTGTGATGAAATGATGAATTTAGAGCCACCCTCTTTTGCTGAGGTGGCAGCTTGAGAAGAGAATCACATGAACTTTATATATATAGATATGCAACTTCGATTAGCCCATGTGTGGTGTGGCATTGAATAAAACATGAGAAGTTATTGAAAAAATATGGATGCATTTTATTAGGACAATAAATATTAAGTAAGCTTTAGTGAATTCCTTTTTGTTCAAAAGTTTTAGTGAAGTCTAGCATATTCTTAGTAATCTGTTTTGTATTGTAAAACTACCTCTGAAGTTGTTCAGTGTATTTAATACTAGCTAAAACATAAAATGAGAAAGAGCTCAAAAAGACTACATATATAAATCATATCTTCTATTTTGGTGTGTGTTTGACCTTAATTTTGTGTAGCTTAAACATACTACAACAAACGATAAACTATTAAAATGATAATTAATTTTTACAAACAGTTATACATTTTTTTAGAGATTCTGTCAGCACTAGTTAGTAATTCCCACGCGTACAGTACTAGTTAGTAAGAAATTATTACATTAGATTGCAGATCATATCCATAAACTTTAATTGAAAGATGTATTCCAATAGGACGCTATTTGGCCTCAAAGGAATGATTTGGCATATGCGATGAAGTCTACCTTTTCCTACCATCAATTTTCACACACACGTACGAATCGTGCATGCGTATATATATATATATATATATATATATATATATATACAATTATATACTGTATGTTTATTAATATACAGGTATATAAAAATGTGTAAAGATTAATTAAGTCGTAAAATACGAGCACAAGAAAATTGTTTAAATCGTGTGTGAAGCTAACTGAAACAGAAGAAACAAACACAAGTAGTAAAGAGAAGTACATAGTGAGAGACAGAGTCGGGATGTTCCCAGTACAAAGGAAATAAAATCCTCTCTCCTCTTCTTTTGCTTTTCCCGCACGTGCCTATTCTCTCTTACTCCAGTCTCCACCGTTGATCACGATGCCCTTCAATCTACACGTAACACATGCATAGACATTTGCCTAACCTATCTGTCTATGCATCGTTTTGTTTGTGATATGAGCTTTGTCTTTAGTTCATAATCTCCCATAGCAGTCCATTGTTTTTGTCATTTGTGCTTTCCTAACTCATCGCTTTCCACTGATCCCCTTTAATTATTATATTGCGTAGCTGTTCACTGTTCATTCTGTTTTGTCATTGATTTATATGGACGAGGCGATGCACCAATTAGACTAAATAATACTACATCCCAATCCCAAAAACTTTGTTATTTTATCAACTCCGATACCCCGGATCTATCCGATATTGACCAAGCTCAAATATTGATCACTAAGTCTATCATACTTCTCTCCTATATCTACTCTAACAAGTTATGCCCTCTACTGACTGATACTGATGATTGTGCCTGTGCGATGATAACTCCTAAACTTTATGTTTTGCTTATTTGTAGTTTATATATACGTTGATTGTACTTATTTTAATCTTTCTCATTTTATATTATACTAAAAAAAATTAGAATTACCTATGACAAAATACAAAATTACATTGACGTCCTATGGTGGGGCTACAGTTTGCGTCTGGAATATAGATTTCAGGCATGTCCATTTTCGATGCCGGACGAGTTGTACTCTACGTAAAGTTAACAAATTATACCATGTTATATACTTTTTCCCCCTAAAATATGGTCATATTAATCTAAAGTCAAGACTCCAGAGCATGTGCAATATCAGTCATGGCTTTTCTTTGTCATCCTTTTCTTTCATCATTATGTTTCTTTCAGGGATTATATTTTCAACTTCGACTCCTCGAACATAAACTACTCTTTCATACTCTGTATTTTTGTTTGTTGTTGATATCTCTTGACGTTAATACAAACCGACTAAACTTCACATAAACACAATATCCTATCAACCTAGTTTGAGATACTGTTTAAATATTCCAAACGTGGCATAAAACGCAACATGCCAAGTGAATCGGTAGAGTGAAAATGAAACATTTCTATTATAAGAGTGATTTATACTTTTTCTCCGGGCTAATATGGTCTCCGAATTAGTTTAATCCACCTATGATAATTCACTATAATTTCTTCCCCTTAAAGTCGTTCCCTACTAGAATTAGTTTGATGAATCAGAAAATCACGACCATTTTCTTTTCCCCGACACTGAAGTTTGATATATTTATCATTTTCTGCTTTTGTTGCATCCATAGTCCCACTTGAATTAATTGGAATCAAAGCAAAAGACTTTTTGTGCATAATTCACATGATTTATGTATAAATGAGTAAACCATAACAGTTTGTGTTCGGTTCTTTTTACACCAAAGGAATAATTTGTAAGTGGTTGTATAATATTGGTTGATAATAAAATCCTTTAAATGGAACCGTGCATGCATAGTTTGACATATCTCACTAGATATAGCACTTAAGTCCTCTCCTTTGTTATACACATCTCCGACATTTATCAATATGCTCTTTAGACCCTAACATAATGCTTTAATAATGGAACACTGAAGAAATTCCTATAATGGAAACACAAATATATTATTCTATATGTTTTTTTCCACATTGTGGCTCAGTAGTTCCTACAATTTGACCAGTTTTGGGTCGAATCCATTAGCCATAACTAATAAAGCAGTAAGTTATGGACAATCTTGAAAGAGAAAAAAAAAAACAGAACAACAGTTAAAACAAAGAGAAAGATGTGTTAAGATTCTTTTCATGATCAAATTACTGATTCTGCTTACTGTTGACAAATTGACTGTATAACGGCATAATAACAGACTAGCAGAGTGGATGAAATGCAGATCAAGTAGATGGACCGACGGAATAGAACGGCGATGCAATTGTCAAGTGAAAAGCATATAAAGCGAATTTATTTCAATTAGTATAATAATCATTATCAGCTTTTGTTAGAATCAACATTTTGAAAGTTTTACATATTCAAATCTAACGATACCCTTGCTTTTCTGCACATATGGGTGTTTGATTGGTTTATGGTTGTTACTGTAAATGTATACCTTGTGTATATCTCTGTTTATGAGAATTTAAATTTGCTCATCGAGATAATTTAGATTGTACATGCATGTGTATATCTCTATTAACTGAATAAACAAAAAAAAAGAGACAAACACATGTAATTAAGGGTAATGGATTTATAGCTAAAGAGATCATCTATCTACAATTTGTAAATTTGTTCGACTATAAAAGTTATATATTATCATTGTCGTGTTCTAGTAAAAAAAAAGAAGTAAAGCCTAATAAACAAAAGGAGATCAACAGAATGTAAAGCTTTAGATTTATAACTAGAATTCTATTGGATTGGATAAATATCATGTTAGATTTAAGAACATGTCGAGACTTTATTGGATAAATATCAAACGATGTTAAAAGTTAAAACCAAAGTCCACTAAGTGTTTTTTAATTTAGACAAAGGATCTCTAGTCCTTACTGTCCGAATTAATCTTCTAGATCGACCTACATTCATCCTAACGACTTGAATCCATGTTCGAGTTGACGCTTCACCTTCTCGATAATAGGATATGTAACTCTACCAACAAACAATTATCCAAATTTAACGAGATTAGATAAAATCTTTTCATGTCACTAAACAAAAAAAAAAACTTATTTGGTTCTTTTGGAGTCGCGTGTGATATCATTTGGCCTCACCATATGTTTAAATATTCGAGTGTTGTGTTTAACCCAGACGATAAAAACTGCCTAGTTTTGAATATATATTATATATATTATATACACTATTGTAAACATTTTGTAACAGAAAAAAAAACAAAAAACACACCAAAACTGCTTGAATAATATAGTTTATAGATCTTAGAGGGTTTACAATATGATACAGAAGGGAAGAATTAGGAATAAACGAATGAAATAGGAAAGCAAATGCAATTTGTGTAAAGTAAACGACTGGGGTCCTAATTTCGCAAATAATTGGCAACCATGTTCGTAATCTTAAGGTTTCTTTTTTTTTTTTTTTTGAACATGGGATAACTTTTCCATTAAAATTAGCTTATCGAACTTCTGAAAGTTCTCAAAGCGTGTTTGGCTACAAGGTCAGCCTTAACATTAGACAGACGAGGAATAAACTTAAACTTAAGAAAAGAAAACGCATTTTCGATTATTCTGATGTCTTCCAGAATTTCATGGACTTCCAAAATCTGAGCCTTCGAATTGATCGCCTTGATCAAGATAATTGAGTCCGATTGCAGAGTTAAAGATCTGATATTCTTTTCTACTGCCATGAAAAGCGCTTCACGAATAGCTAGGGCTTCTGCAATTTGCAGTGCAGAGGGAACGGAAGATAATGCCGCGGAGTGAGAAGAGACTAGCTCTTTGCCGGAGGAGTAAATCCAACCGAGTCCTGCGGATCCAACTGAGCCTTGTTCAGTTAGCCAAGCTGCATCAGTGCAGCAAGTGATTGATCCTCTAATCTGATTTGAAGACGATGGACATCCCCGAGAGATGTTTCGACAAATCCCTGAGGTTTGAGCTCCCATCCATTCTCTTGCATCCCGAATTGCTTTAAGGACAGTTTCTTCCACTGTAAAAATCTTATTTTCAAAGATTTTTTGGTTTCTAGCAGTCCAAAGATTCCAGCAAATCCACGAATACAAGCATCCTTTATCCAAACCTGTCGGAGGGAGAGTGAAAAGTTTTTGGGCCATGGCTAGTCCTTCTCTAAAGGTCCCAACTGTCGATAGATTGATCGTCGTAGAGAAAGGAGCCGATGCCCATACATCTCGAGCAAATCTACACTGGAAGAAAAGATGTAGAATCGATTCAGGTTCTTCGCATCTGCAGCAAACTGGATTAACCGGAATACATCTTGCCTCTAGCTGAGTTCCCACTGGTAATGCTCCCTGTAGAGATTTCTATAAGAACACCTTAAGCTTTGGCGATGTTTTAACTTTCCAGACCTGATTATTCCAGTTTATTGTTGTGTTGAGTTCCAGTGCTCTGATATCTTCTGCTAGTTCAGACGCCACTAAATAACCGGACCGCGTAGAGTACTCGCCTGTCGGGTTCTTTAGCCACCGCCGTTCATCATTAGCTCCTAATTTGCTCGGTTTCAAGGTGAGAATTTGATCCTTGTACTCAGGGAGATAAAGATTCAACTTTTCAGTATCCCAATCTGAAGAGTTAGGGAGGAAGAGATCTGACACTTTTAAATGTTGCGCTTCTCTTGTAGGTGGACCCATTGGTTGGCAATGATGAGTTAGGGAGATCCAGGGTTCCTCCCAAACCTTGATCGAATGCCCGTTTCCCACTACCCATCCTAATTGCTGGATTAGAAGGTCTCTGCCTACACATAAGCTTCTCCAACCATGTGAAGCTACTCCCGGGACTCTACTTTCCAGAAACGAGGTACTGTGAAAATATTTTCCAGCAAGAGTTTTAGCTAGGAGACAGTTAGGATTATTAAGGATTCGCCAGCCCAGTTTAGTGAGAAGAGCCTCATTGAAATTATTGATATCTCGAAAACCCAATCCTCCTAGGTGCTTAGGTTTCGCCATTGTTTTCCACGCTATCCAAGACATTTTTCTCTTGTCTGGAGATGAGTCCCACCAAAATCTAGTAAACGCTGATTGGATTCTCTTGCAGAGAGACTGGGGGAGTTGAAAGCACGACATAGCATAAGAAGGCATAGCGGACAAAACACTCTTCAGTATAGTGAGCTTTCCACCTCCTGAGAGCCGGTTTGAAGTCCAGCTAGACGCTTTTTGTTTGATCCGATCAACAATTGCTGTGAAAAGATCTTTCTTCCTCCTTCCAAAGTGTTCAGGTAAGCCCAAATACTTTCCGGAGCCTCCTTCTTTGTCTATTAAAGTTAGACTCTTCACAAGATTGCGAGTTTCCTGTGGAGTTTTAGTAGAGAAGGTGATAGCCGATTTCTGAAGATTGATAACTTGTCCTGAGACTGCAGCATATTTATCCATGATCTTCTTTAGTTCCTGACAGCATTTCTTATTTGCTTTGCAGAAAAACATAGTGTCATCTGCAAAGAGGAGATGATTTATGCGTGGGCTTCCCCTGGCCACTCTGACTCCTTGTAATTTACCCGTGATCTGGGCTCTTCTACACAAACCAGACAGGACCTCGCTACACAGAATGAAGATATAGGGGGATAGAGGGTCACCTTGTCTTATTCCCCTAGTAGGTAAGATATTTCCTCTTGGCGCACCATTGAAGAGAATTGAGTATGAAACTGTAGTTATGCATTGCATTAGTCTTGTTACCAAGATTTCATGAAACCCTAGCTTCTTTAGAACTTATCTGATAAACTCCCATTCCAGTCTATCATACGCTTTACTCATGTCCGTTTTCACAGCCATAGAACATGAGATTTTTGCCTTTGAGATCTTTAGGAAGTGGAGCACTTCATGCGTAATTAGGACATTATCTGAAATAGCTCGTTTAGGCACAAACGTTGATTGATTTTCCGAAATTAACCCATCTAGGAGAGGTTGAAGCCTTCGGGCCATCAGTTTAGAGATGATCTTGTAACAGAATTACATAAAGCTATTGGTCTGTAATCTGCAACTCTTTTTGGTCCCAGGATCTTCGGGATTAGGCGGATGTGAGTGCTATTTGAGCTACGCGGCATAATACCGGAAATGAAGAAAGCTTGTACCTCTGCCACGATATCCTTGCCCACGGTGCTCCAGTTGGTCTGGAAGAAACTAGATGAAAAACCGTCTGGACCAGGGGCTTTGTCAGGATGGATTGCAAATAATGCCTCTTTAATCTCGTCAGGTGAAGGATCCTTTATTAGTTCTCTGTTATCGGCATCCGAGACCAATGGATTTAGTGCCAAATCTATAACCGATCTTCTCTGATCCTCCATGACAGGTTGCGCTGTGAAGAGATGTTGGAAATAGTCTGAGATAACTTGGATCATCTGGTCTTCTTCATACACTGTTATTCCTGTTTCATCTTCCACTACCGAGAATTTGTTGACAGCGAATCTGGCACGAGTGGCTGCGTGAAAGTAACTGGTATTGTGGTCACCAAGTTGAAGCCATTGTTGTCTACTCCTCTGCTTCCAAAACGCTTCCTCAGCCGCGTAAGCCTTTCTCAACTCCTCATTTAACTGAGTTAGAAGCACTTCATTGGGAGAACTACTACTCATTTCTACCTCAATGCCAGCTTTTAGCTTTTCAATACATTTTTGACTATTCAGCTGCTGGTTTTTGCTCCAAATCACTATTGCTTTGCGGCATTGAATGATTTTTTGGTTCAGGTTTGCCCCTGATGACTCTTCCCAAACTTTGGCAATAAGGGATGTGACTTCCTCATTATCTTTAAGCCTACGATCATATCTGAACATCCCTTTTTGTTTTAATCTGTTAGGATCAAAGTAGGAAACCACAGGGCGATGGTCAGAGCCTTCAAATCTTAGATATTCACATCTACCAGATGGAAACATCTCCGCCCATTCGCTGTTGGACAGGGATTTGTCAAGTCTGCAATGTACGAGATGATCATTTCTTTTGCCTCGCCAGGACAAGAAATTTCCAGAGTGTCTTAGATCAAACAAATCCCCTTCGGACAGGAAGGTCCGGAAATCCCCAAAGGTTCCTTCTGCTCTAATAACTCCTCCTTCTTTTTCGGAATTGTCTATTATATCGTTAAAATCTCCTGTGAGGAACCAAGGTGCTTCTCGTATTTGATTCAGGGTATTTAGATGTTTCCACATTCTCTTCCGAGTAGCTCTATCAGGATCACCATATACAAAGGTAGCATAGAAATTTTTGCCTTCAAAGCTAATACGAGTATCAAAGTAATTGATACAAGAAAATATAACATCAAGTTGGATATTTGGTTTCCAGATGAGAGCTAAACCTCCTCCGGCAATTCCATGCGGGGAAACAAAAGCGTGACTGTGGTATCCAAGAGATTCGACTTTACTTAGCACCACCACATCGGGGTTCTTCGTCTCAGATAAGAAAATAACATCAGGATCTAATCTTTTTTTCAATTCTTTGAGACGATGCTCTGTCCAAGGGTTTCCCACCCCTTGACAGTTCCAGCTTAGTATCTTTAAGGAAGAGGAGAAGACGGCTTGTGAAAATCCGCTGTCTTCTTTCTAATTGCTGGTATCATTTGTATCGTTGTAGGGAGCTGGGCTGATGAGGAAGAACCCGCTTGTCGTGAAGTCTTACTTTGACGTCCTCCAGTGGACTTTGAAGGTGGCGGGTATGAGATGCTTCTCAGAGCCTTTGGCGAGGCAGAAGAACCTCTCTTTCTTGGAGATCCTGCAGCATACACTTTCCGCTTCCGGGAAGAGGTTCCTTGAAGTAAGGTATTCGTTTTAATAGCCGTTTTTCTACCCACAGGTCTTCCACGTTTCCTTTTCCCTAGGTTAGAATCTTGATTAGCGTTTTCAATTTCAATGATGTCCCCTGTCGTGAGAAAAGTGGGACCAAGTCTTTGCGACGCAGGGATTCTATCATGGGATAAGGCCTCTGGGCTAGCTAGAGCTCGAGAAAGAACTGTAGCAGCGGCTTGGGAGGCTAAAGAAGCCCTAACCATCTGTGCCGCAGATTCCTCTAGTTGTCCTGTTTCTTCCGCTTGTCTGAGGCGTTCCTTATGTGCTGCACTTTCTGAAGGATCCGCACAAGAAGAATATTGGACCATAACCTCCCGTATCTCTCCCAGAGCCGAATTTAGAGCATCTCTAGGTAATCTTTCCGGGGATCTCTCCGGAGTGCGTTCCTTATCAAGAGGAGGCCTTCTCTGTCTTGCAATCTCCCTAATGGTGGGGTCGTGAGACTCGCTAGTTCGATCGTGAAGAGCAGGTCTTCCTTTTTCTATCCATCTCGGATAAGTTTGCTGAATTCCAAAGGATTCACTTCGACGTGAAGTAGGAGGTATATACGTTCTAGACGACTCCATTGAGTTTCGACCTTCTTCAGGAAAAGACTGTCGGGGCTCCTTACTTCGGGCCCTCGAATCTTTGTAAGATTGGTGGCGAGAGTCCCCTCTGTCCCGGGGAGGGAACCGGTTGTCAGGTACCTTCTGTCCGAATCTTGTCTATCGTATCTACCTCTTTCTCTAACTTTGCCTTTCCCCTTACCTTCATAGTATCTCTGATAGGGTTCATCTCTCTGGGTTGTATGTTTTTGTGCTCTTATCGGAACCTCCTCAGGAGCTAGAGGTTCAGTCAGAGAGCAGTCCTTTGCATCATGATCCAGACGATAGCAGCTGGTGCAGTGCTTTTCTAACTTTTCATACACCAGGGTCGCTTCCACTTCATCGCCGTTTTCGAATTCCACCATTGAAGACATGATTAGTGGTTTGAGGCCATCAACTTGCACTTTCATCTTCGCTGAGGTTGCTGTAATGACTGATCCTTCATAGTGGCCTATATCATTTGCAATACTCAGCATAGTTTCCTCTGAACACATATGGAGAGGGATACCCTGTACCCTAATCCAGAACGGGATTTGCAAGGGGAAAGAGCTAAGCGTGGTAGGTTCCCATCTTTCTACAATTATCATCCAGTAAGCGAAGTGGTAGGGTCTGTTATCCAGAACGTTTTGGAGATCCTTCTCCGTTGAGAATTGGAACTGAAAGAGGTCTCGTCCTAGGTCTGCTCCGATTGGGTTTGCTGAACCCTTCCAATGTTCCGTGAAGAAGGGGATGAGATTCCACATCCTCTGTATCTTTGGATTTGTAAGTCTTCCCATGAGGGTAAGCGAATGTTGTTTCAGAAGCTTGGAGTTATCGAAGGGTGGGACTTTTACTCTGGCTGTTCGGGGAGGCTCAGATGGGCCTTTTCCTTTCTCCGAGTAAGACAGTCTCCGACTCATAATGACCGAGAAGTTGCTTCTCTGAATGTCGAGATCGGAAAGATGACTTCTATTTAACGGTGAAACCGGTACTACACACAGCGGTGAGAAAGTTAACTTCAGATTTTTGATCTGAGAGAGGTATAACTGGATCCGACCAAAGGGGCTACTTAGAGTAGTGAAGGGTTTACTGCTTCCAACCGGGAACCAGATATACTGCAAATCTATCAGATCTGAGAAGATTACTGTTGGAACCTAACAGAAGCGCAATAAAGAGCCGTAATAACTTCAGGAGAAAAACCAAAACGTCAATGTTACTTCAAGTGTCATAACTGCACTTGAGAGAGAGAAGAGACAGGGTGGAGTTTAAGTACTTCCCTTTAAGGAGGTGTACATGGTACTGGAAGTAGCTGATACCGTAGACTTCTTAACATTCCGGTGGTGAGACTTTTAGACTGGCCGAAGGTTAAACAGATGAAATCCACCGGTAAAGATTGCTGGAAGCAAGAAGTTACAGGAGAGATCTGGTTTCAACCAGCAAGTGAGGAAGCTGAGCACGGTGGAGGAGCAACTCGCGAGGCAGGAGCGGCGAGCTTTGGGCTTGGTACCGGCGGAGAAGAGGATCCTCTGACTCCAAGTCGGGGGTGGAACCCGGGCCCTTGCAACCAGGATTCTAGGTAAATGAGAAAAGCACCTAAAACGGGAAAGAATTATTGGATAAAAGGAGGTTTGAAAAGGACAGTAGTTGACTCTAGGAGCTCTCTCGACAAACGTGTCTGGGAGAGAAAGAGGAGTCTTTGTTGTCTTATTGGAAGTCTAAGAAGAAAACTAATCTTAAGGTTTCTTTACACTTATCTTTGGGGACCTAAGATTTGATTTTTATTCGGTAGGGAAAATATTGTCCTAAACACGCATGTAGTCTAGTAGCAGAAGCTTTTAGGTCGCAAAGTATAAAGTCACATTCTTTCTGGATTCATATCTCACTGGAAACAAACACACATGTATACGTGCGTGGGTATAGCCGGAGATGGATCCAGTTGAAAATTTGGTGGGTAGGATGTTTCGACCGTCTTCTTTCTTTTGGGATTAATCAGATTTTATTTGATCACCTAATTTGGAAAAAGCAACAATTATATTTATGTGTGTTTGTTTAGATTTGTGATGTTTAGTAGTCTAATCATCAACAATAAGAGTGAGCGTGATAATCAGACTTTGCTTGTGTCTAACTAAACCAACAACCCAACATCTCCAAATAATATGAGAAGGCACCATTATTTGAAAAAGAACATTCTGTTAAGCTGTTAAACATGCATAATGAAATTAAAATTCTAGACCAAAAAATGGTTTGAGAAATAAGAGAAAAAAATACGCCCATAGTAGATAACCCGTAAATTAGCTGGAAAGAAAAAATATCATAACTAATTGGTCCTATATATGGTTGAACTAGCAACTTGGAGTCTTTTAATTAGGGGGGGTGTGGCAAATATTAGTTTTATGCATATCACGATATTCATTTTACTATGTTCAAAAGATACCAAATTATTTGTACTTAAGAAACAAAATATTTCTTGCCGTCAGACGGTTTGGACATGATTATTATAATTTGTTTTAAGATCTATGTTGGGGAAGAAAAAAACAATATTCTTTCCACAATCTTTCGCCACCGGCATGAAGTTTTTGATTTAGAACGGTTTAAGACAGTTTACATGGTGAATGGCTGAATACCATAGAAAGGAGATTAATGGGTTGGTATGGAAGTATGACAAGGTTTGAGCCTTTGTCACACAAAAAAAGAAGCAAGATTTTGAGCCTTAGTCACATAAAGAAGGCGCAATATTTGGGCCTTTAACTATATGGGTCTTCAGTAGTGTAAATAAAACCAGAGGAAAAACCTTCAAAACCGTTGCTTTGTTTTTCTTTCATTCAATTCAACAGCAAGAGTGACGACCACTTGTTGAAGTGTAACACGAGTAGAAAGTTAAAACACTTTTAATAGTATATGGTATGTGATTACAAGTTAGTTTTTCTTTGTGGTATGAATGTTTAAGCAAACAAAACTACGTATGACTTTTTTTATTTTGTAACTGAGAAACAAATTCATATCGTGTGTTTAAAAATCCACAACAACTATGATGTATGTCATATATAGAGGAAATTAACTTATATTGTTAGGACAACCATCTATTAGTATTTAGCATCATGAAACGATCATCCCGCACTAATATATCCAAGAGAGTTGAAATGTCAAATCGTTATCGAAATCTATACTTCTTATAGCATCAAGAAGAAGAGTTACTTATGGTCCTTTCTCTTGTCAACTAGTTAAGGTCCTTAAGAACAAAGCAAATGGATATAACCACATAACATTAACAAACCAATGGATCTAATAATTTGAGAACATGAAATCAAATATCACAGTATCACAACAAATTTCTCATATAGTAGTAGTACTGTAGTAGTAGTCAGTATATGAAACACACAAAACGACAAAAACGAAACTCGAATTTTGTTTTAAATGATTTATCAACCAAAAGAAAAGTTACACAAGTAATGAAGAGGAGGATACACGTGGCGAGTATCAAGCAAAAGAGATCAAATCAATCGTCCTCGCATAGTACACACGTAGGCCCCACCTATCCCTTCTACATTTTAAAAATCTTAATTTCATCCTCTGCGAGAAAACCAAAACTTCTCCTTCTTTCTTCTTTTCGCCATTAACACCTGAAAAAAAATTCTCAAAAGCATAAAACAACAAGAAGAAGAAGATTAGATAATGAGATAAAAAGAGAGCAAAAATGGTGGGTCTAAGTATTGTTCTGGAGACGTCTAACAACACTCTCCGTGACGGCGTTACCAGTCCCAAACCGCATCAAGTCGTCAACAAATCCTCCGTCATGGTCACCGCCTCCGATCTCTGCCGTGAAACTAATTATCCGGATTCTGGATTTCTCGAACGTTGCTTTCTCTGCAGAAGGAAACTTCTTCCAGCCAAGGATATCTACATGTATAAGTAAGTAATCGATGTGAAAAAAACTTTTATCATTAACGAAATCATTATCTCGTGATTATAATGGCGAAAATCTGGATTCTTTTTCTGATGGTTTGTGTTAATTTTCTGGGATGTTTTTTGTGTTGAATCTGTCAGAGGAGATAGAGCGTTTTGTAGCGTGGAGTGTAGATCGAAGCAGATGATCATGGACGAAGAAGAAAGCTTGAGGAGAGAGAACTGCTCGTTTACGTCTGTCAAAACGACGAGGTCTGATTCTCCGGCGACGGCGACGTCACCTTCAGGCGGCCATCACCGTCAACGCCGGGATCCGAGAAACCGAGCAGGCGGTTTCACGTACTGAAAGCAGAGAGAGATACCGAGAGAGAGCATCGCAAACTGAAACCGTGATTTGACTTTCTCACCCTTGGGCTAATTTTTGTCGTTTTGTCATATGAGATGTAAAGCCAAAAGGGTGTTTTGGGTATTTTGAGTCTTCTTGCATATCTCTATGGGCTTAGTTTTATTTAATTTAGTAGGTTCCGGAAAATATTTAATTAAAAGTTACTAGTAGTATTTAATTTTCTGATCAGGCTTCTTTACCTTTTTGCCAACATTAACAACGTATTGTCACTACAGTTAATGTTGATGGAACTGAGTAGAGTTTTTATTAATTTCGTTTAAAGTTACATAATATCCCGCCAACATGCAACTCTAGTATACTGTATAGTTTTTAAGGAAGTGGGGGGATTTGGAGTATTTTAAACGGATTTTGTAAGCTCAAATAGTGGTTAGTGATTGACTATCTTGATCTAATCCACAAAGAGACAACGAAAAGGACACGTCACACGTAACAAACAAACTATATAGTTTTCTTATATTATATAGATAAAAATATTCTCTTTGGTTTCATGCGAATTAGCTTCAAGGTGTTGGAGAATCTTTAGCTTTAACCGACATAAGTTTCTATATACTATTTATATTTCAACGAAACTATGTAATGTTCGTTCTGTACATGATAAAACAATTACCAACAACTCACATACTTTTTCTTTATAGTTGATTGTGAATCATATTTATGCATCATATGACAGGAGAAGTGGACTATGTGTATAGAACAATTTCTGATATCACTTACGTTGTTTTATTCGTAAAGGAAAAAGCATCATTTCTTATCGTGCCCAAAGTAACACTATACACAACATTAGCATGTTATTGTAACTACTGTACCTTTCAGTCAACACAAATATTTTATCTGTTTTCTCCATCACAATCAAGAAAAAGATTTTATGGTTCTCGTATCAAAAAGTACGTGAGAGATTTTCGGATTATATGTAATTTTCTGATTGAATGAAATGGAAAGGATATTACCGATCACTAGAATACAAATATCACTCAGTACATGAAAGTCTTTCTTTTTTTTTTCTTTTGTCAGCACTCAGCAAGTATGAAAATTGGTGATTTTCAAAATCTTTGCCAAATAAAATTTGCAGAAGAAAAAGTAAAAGTTCCTCCAGCAATTTTGTTTTGTTTTTTTCTTTTAAGTGTTGACCAACACGATTGTGAGCTTTGGAGTATTATTATCAGTTGGTCAAGAAGACTAACTAGATTCTTTAGTTTTCTTAGTTTTTGGAATAATGTGGGCCAAAACCAAAAATGTATTTTGACATTTTACTTTGTCTTTCTGTGGAGATATTATGTCCCATGAAATGTAATTGATTAGTACTCCATATTCATAGGATCCGACTGTAAAGACACAGTGAGGTCCCTTACCTGTCTGTCTCTTTTCAAAGTGGGTTAATATTATTGGTGGGGTTTGATATTTTTGTATGATCGGTTAATTTAATGCCAAAACGATTAGAGAGAATCTCTCGTCTTTAGTTGCACAAATCACTAATGCCCTTAAATTAAATGCAATAGGACTGCCATTTCCCATATCACCTGGCTCATTCATTAACAATGGCTCTTATTGCATGCCTGACTTTTTAAAATACTGGAAAAATAATCAAACTATTTTATACAGCCTGTAAAAAAGCTGATGAACTCATAGATACGTCAGATACATACTTTCAATGCAGATATAAATATATTTTAAAATGTTTATCTTAGGAAATTGTGAATTTGATAACCAATTTATATATTACCTAGTTTGCTTAGTTATTAACTTATTTATAATCCCAACTATGCATTTACAAACATTAAAACTTCTTACTATTGTAAAATCGGATAAGGCTATGTCGATATTCTAGTGAAAGTGGGATTTTAAATTCATTCTTAACTTACAGTCTTACCTTTTTGTTGAGTGTTCTGTTGTGCCTCTGAGAAAAAGTGGATTTTGCATTTAAGAATGATTGGTTTACAAGGAACATGTGGCCTGACCTCCATTATGTTTTTAAAAACCCACTTTCACTAAAATAACGACATAGCCTTATCCGATTTTACAATCATAAGAAGTTCTAACGTTTTGTAAATGCATAGTCTATGTTTTGTAAGCATATATATTCCACAATGAATAGCAAATCAACTATAAAGTAAAAACGGTGTCCGATTATAATACTCACAGAAATTATCGACAGTGTTAACATAGAATGTGTGTAATGTGTCCATAAGCAGTAGAAACCGTTCACCTTTGTAGAGATGAAGAGTAAGCTGACCTGCCATGAAAACTTGCTGTTCAAGGAAACCTAAGAGCTATTAGTGTTCCTTCTCTTAGCTTGCAAGTGTTCTTATATAAACATGAATCTAAAATGTTTCAGAATCGTCTTCAGAATCCTCCACAACCCAACTCTTCTTCGCTATCTTCTTAGGACGACTAAAGCCACTTCCTTCTCCTTCATCTTCTTCATCTGCTTCTTCTTCTTCTTCTTTTTCTTCTTCATCGTCCCCTTCTGTTGGTGGTGCTTTATCAGAATCTAAGCCCCGTGATGATCCGGGACTAGCAGTTCGGGGGGACAACATTTTCTCTGAATCATCTTCTGACTCTTCTCTTACATCATCATCGTTAACGCCAATGTTATTGTTATGTGTCTCTGTCTCTGCTTGGTTTTCTCCATCTTCGCCTCCTTCAGGGGTTTCTGCATCTTCAATTATTTTAAAGTCTCTGGCAGTGCTGCGCTTGGCATGCCTCAACAAATTGAATTTAGTAACTTTGCTCAGCTGAATAAGATATCTTTCATAGTCTTCTATCTGGAATATCAAATCAGGGATGCATTTGTTCTCCTGTTTGATCTTGTTGATTATGCCCTTGGAACTGGAACTCACAGTTTCCTGTTGGTCCTGCATTTGGAAGAAGCCACACAGTTAAGATCGATGACGAAGAAACATCAACCTATGAGTGCTTACACAAATATTACCTTTTGCATTTCACTTAAAAAGGGATATAAAGGGACCGTGAGAGACTTGCAAGTTAGTTCCACGAGTTTCTGAAATTTAAGGGTAGGAACAGTTTGCTTGCAACCCTTGGGAGCAATCCTCTGTTTCACAATCTGTGCTAACTGTTTGTAAAACCGAACTGCTAATCTGAGAAACTGTGCTGCTTGCGAGTCTGCAAATCATTAAACCACATATTAATTAACAAATAATAAGCTGATTAACTCTAGTGAGGATCAGATTAGGCAAAGTTTTGAAAAAGTGAAAACTCACCTTTAAGGTTCATTAAAACAAAGGAAGAAAGTATCCTGATTGTTGACTCAGCCATTGAGTAAAGCGCTTCCTCGAGAGACAGTCCAAATGTGCTCTCAGCGTCATGGTTGAGATGGAGGTTCTTCTGAGAGACTATTTGGAAATTCTTTAGCTTCTTTGTGGCCCAGTCCATGTCAACTATTGCTGAATCAATTGATTGCAACAGGCAAGAATTTACAGAAGCACTTGTTGACTGGTTTATGATCATGTATGATGATTCAGACACTTCTAAAGTATCAGATTTTTCTAAACCGATGACATTTTGCAACTCCTTGGCCACTTCCACTGCTATGCATAGATCATCAGGGGATGTGGTAAAAGAGATGGCAAGTTTCAGAATGCTCTTTGCCACGGTGGTATTAGATGTTTCACAGCTTCTGCAGATTTGATGGGACCATGATCCATGCCGTTGTTTGAATTTGTCAGGTAGAGTGTTCCCAAGCATCAACATTATGTCACAAAGAATCTGAACAGTGCAATTATATATTATAG